ACTCCGGCTGCCGCCCTGCAAGCTCTCACTGCCTACAAAGCTGCTCCAGGCAAAAGTTCAGGTCCAAAAGCCTGTGGAACCCGCAGCCCCCTCGCAGCAACACACTGCTGATTTTTTTTTTAAAGCTTTAGCCGAAGGAGGGAAGTGGCTGAAGTGGTATTCGAGCACTGCAGGCTGCGACAGCCCGACGCGAGTGATGTCCAAGCCTCGGAGCACCTGGACAACGTTTCTGCCTGTAGCAACCACCTCAAAGAGTTCAGATATTTGTGAAGTAAAAGCATTTATTTCCTTGCACTATACAATTGCGTTCATGCAGAAAGTGCAGCAAGAAAATGAACGGGGCTTGAAAATAACCTCTGGGCTGAACCCTCACTTGCAGCTCAAGAAGAGGCACAGGAAGGCAGGGATGCATCTTGAAAGTGTCTTGGAATAGTCCTGGAAGACTATTTCACCCTTATTTCTGTATGAGCTACCTGCCAGAAAGCTACTGCATCATGAGTGCCGTCCTGCAGCTCATGCCTTCCCCAGTGGGACGGCGAGCAGGGCCCGGGGGGACAGCGGTGGGGACGCGTGAGCTCCAGGCGGGAGCAAGCATTGCAGACCCTCAGATATCTGAACTCTCATTCACCAGAACGAGAGGCCATCGCTTGGCCTTATAGGACGATTCCTGTGACCCCCTGGGGAAATAGGTCTGAAAACACGGCAGGCGGGGGAAGTCCCAGGGGAAGGACATTGCCGAAGCCAGCGGGCACTACGGTACCTTCACTGTCCACTTCGGGGAGCAGCTTGCGCAGCGGCTTCCTCACTTCCCAGGTGCTGTTGATGAACGTGGGCATCACTTTGAGCAACTCCTCTTTGTCTTCCTCGTGGATAACGGGGATTGTCTCCAGAATAAGCTGCATCTGTTCCAGCTCGTGACCCCCTAAATGGGTAGAAAACAGGCAGTGAGTTGAGACCCAGAAGTTAAATCGGGGGGTGGGGTGGTGGTGGTGGTATTATCAGCCACGTCACCGCAGCGCCGCATCTCCCGGCAGCCCCTCCACGCTGATGCATCCCCGCGTTAGCCACCACTCTTTGCTCCACGGAAAATGTGGTGGGACTCCCAGCTGGGTCACCTCTTTTTAAGGGGTGAAAGCATTAACCTAGACAATTTGCCCTCCTGGTGTAATCACCCTGAGGCTGTCTGTGCAGTTTTTCGACTAACCTAGCCATCTATTTAAAATGGCTATGATGCAGAAACCGTACCCGACTGAAATCACGGGGCATGGGAGCTGTTATCCATCGGTGGGGTCCATCCTGCATGATGGAAGGAGACAGATATCTAACGGCCTCAAAACTGACGACCCTCTTTAAGCAACACTATGGGCTGGGCTCGTTCGTAACCCCATATGAAGCATGCCGGCTCACACGGCTGCGGCCAGGCAGGGCAGTGCCCGATGCCGTCACCACACGTCCCCGCCACGCGCTGTGCTACAGAGAAGCAAAGCCCCTCCGCGCAGCAGCGAGAAAAAGTGCTGCCACAACCCCAGCGATAACAAGAAGATCGTGAACCCAGCTCCAGGAGTCCCAAAGGCTTCATCTTTAAATGAATGCAAGTGCCTGACCTCTGCTCTCTCCCGATGGGAAAGGGGTTTTCTGACCGGGTCCCACCTGGCTGCTGGGCACCAAGTCAAGGCTCTGATGGTGACGATCCCCACAGCTGCTATGAACAATCATGTATTTTTTAATCCTTTCCTTCAGGACATATTTATCCACACATCCCTAAGCCCCCGCTCAGGACTGGCGACCAGCCATTGAGAGGAGAGAAGCAGCAGTGCCAGCGGAGCGGAGCCAACCGCCTCGTTAATGAACGTTAATCCCATTCTTTAGCACACTATTGGACGTGACCAAGAGCTCCGCGGCTGATTTCCAGCTTCCTGCGTACACAGAGAAGCAGCCTGGCAGAAATACTGAGTCGCACTATTGATTTTCTGTCTGCCAGAAACGCCGGTTATAAATATTCTGTCATTAGAGGCAGGACTATCTATTAAGACAGCGAGCTGGCTGGGGCGGACAAACCAACGGGGATTTTTGGGCTACCAAGTCCCTGCTGTCCAAGTCATGGGTTTCAGGCTGCTTCACTGGCAAGCAGCGCCCGGCTGATCCGCAGCAAGAGGAGTGAACCTCATTTATGGCACAGCACTTCTGATCAGTCTGCAGGGAGGGTGGAGAGGCCAGCTCGTAGGGGATGGTGGAGACCATCGCTGGCGTCAAGCCCTCAAGCAACCCCATCCCTTTGGAGGTCCCTGGCACCTCACGGGGGCTGCCCTTCCCAGCCCAGAGCTCCCCTGTGGGTCTGCAGGAGGTTTCCAGACTCACATCCATGGAGCTGACCCCAAACACACACCCACTGGGCAAGGGTAGGTCCAAACGTTGAGGCTGGGACAGGGTCTCCATCCATCGTGGCCTCATCACTCCAACAAGGTTTGGTTCAATGCAGTCGTGACGACTTTCACCCCGAATGGCAGAGCTCTGAGCCAGGACACGGCAATGAACTTAGACAACCCCAAACCAGCACTGACATTAGCACGGCTGGTCACCATCACACCACAGATCTGCTCAGAACAAAGCCTCAGAAGAAGATAGAGCAACAGGAAAAGCAAAAAAGACAGAGGGACACCCTCCTAATATCAATCCCGGGCAAATGAATTCACTTTCCTATAGAAAAACTGATTTCAGGTCATTTAGAGGTTCGCAGCATGGCTCCAGGGGAAACTAAAGATGACCATCAGGAAACAAACACCTTGTTAGTCATGCTAATTCCCAAACCGTGATCAAAATTTACGGGGTATTAAAAGTCACAAAGGCGTTGTGGCTCTTCTCCTCTCAGTGCAGCTCCAGCCACTGCTCACTGAAGGTCCCTGGCAGCCTAAAGGCACCGTGTTTAGTCACACAAAGAAGCTGCTAATGCAACTCTGGAAGCGTTGAATTACGGCTCTCAGGAACCCAATCCTCCACCATTATCCTTTATTTGTGTAATTCCTAGGGACCTTCCAGAGGCATTAATTCCTGAAAAGAAAAACACGAACTACAGACAGAATAAACGCAACGTGCTGTCGTTACCCGGGGAGAGAATGAGGAGCTCTGCATCGTGTCTTGGAAAAGGGAACCCTTCCCCGGGCTTGCAGCCAAGTCCCGCGTGAGCACCCAAGCCCTGCTAGCGACTCCTCTAGGAGCAAGCACTGATCCCAGGGGAAAAGCCACCGTGCCACCTCCTAGCTCTTGGTCACGGGCACGGCCCCGCTGGCGATCCCCAAGGAGACCTGCGAGGACAGGCAGCTTTTTTCTTTCTCCTATTTTCTCTTGCTTCCGCTGGCGATGCTTTCGGATACGCTTCGGCAGCAGAGGGTGGAGAAGTCACTGGAGGGAGCTGTAGCCACTCGGTTACGGATGCTCTTCCCTGTTTTCCATGCTGCTCATGGTGGGGAGCTCTCGAAAGGTCTGCGAACCAGATTTTAGCTGTTGGAGACGTGCTACGCTCCTGTGAGCTTTGGGTTAGCCAAATTTCTTGTGCCCTCCCGGGGCTCTGCCAAACCCAAAGCTGCTCCTGCCACCGCACAGCCCAGAGAAGGGGCTGCGGGGAGGGCAAGGGGGCTGGGGGTCCCTCTCTGCTGGGTATTCGTTAACTTGTGTAGGAGAATGAAAGCAGCGAGTGACATCTATTCCCAATAACTGATCACCTTAATTTAACTGCGTTGCTTAAGCACCCCAGATAGACTACTGAGTTAATTATATTGACTTATGCTAAGCACCCAATTTAAATTGTGCCACTGATGCATACTCAAAAAACAACTTATCCAGTGTAAGGCAATTACTGGAGGTTTGCAACTTTCTGGGAACTACATCGCTGTTATTTCCCACGGGGTGTTTGTTGGTGACCCAGGATTCTCCAAAAGTCTCATCCTGCAGCGATGGGGGCTGCGGCTGGCCGAGGGCAAACTCCTTCTCCCAAGCACAGAGGAGAAAAGCAGAAGCAAAGATGAACCCACGCTTCAGTGGGTTCAATGCAAGTGTGTGCCATTTTTAGCTATTCTGAGCGGTTGGGTTTTATTCTCCTCCTCTTTGGACGCCAGCAGATGAAAGATGGTACTTGGCATGGGACACCACGGGCACCCTGCCCCACTGCCGGCTCCCACCCTGGCTCTTCTTTACTTACTGGTATAGGAGGAGGCCAGGAAAACGGTGCAGGGGGCCAGGACCTTCCCATAACAACTCTACAGACTATTTTTAAAGCAACCCAAAAGGAATATGTATTTTGAGCTTCGGTTTTGATCCCCACCCATTAGCTAAGTATCCTGCCATCATCTGGGAGCTTATTAAGCGATTGCACAGGGCTGGAGAGCAGAGAAGCAGGGATGCTCGCAGCACTTGTCTGGCTGAACCCAGCCTATGATCTGCCAAAACCCATCTCCTGATCTCGAACCTGCTGTGGACTCTCAGGAACCAACCTGCAAAGCAGGTTCCTGTATGGCTGCTCTGGGGCATCTCGCCCGGGCAGCCGGGACAGGACTGATCTCACCCGTAGCCACATGCAACGCCAGCGTGGGCACTTCAGCTCGTTCTCCAGATGCTCTTTATGAGCAGTAGTGGAAAAATAAATATTTCTAAGGCACAATCTCAGCTGAAGGCAGACAGCTAACAGAGGCCAGATGAATCACATCCTGGAGCTGCCTTTGCCTCTGCCTTGACCATGAAGGGAGCTTTAGGGACCAGCTCGGACACCTAGGCAGTAGATGGCTGGTGTCAGCCAATGTAGCTTCTACCCCTGGGGTCCAGAAACAGCACACAAACCAAGTCAAGCACAGTTTGGAAAACCAGGATAAAGATGAGTGCTTGGGTGGTCTGATGGGGATGGCCAGAGAAGGACCTGGACGAGCCAGTCTTGTTTTGCTGTTTGAGATGAGGAGCAAGTACAGGAAAAGAGAGACTGACTTAAGAGTCCAAAAAGATTTCCCTGGGGCTCCAGCTACACCCAGTTTAATACGAGGTGGCGCGTTGCTCTGGTCTGGTGCAACTCCTGCCAGACCAGGACCCTGCCATCCTGTGCTGGGGTTTGCTTCTGCTGCTCTGGTTTACCTGGGGCTAGTTCGGGTCCGGTGCCCTGGACTGGCAGAGCCTTAGCTCTGCCCTGGAAAGGCATCGTCCAGTTTGTTTCCACCCAAAAAGCTCGGAGACTCCTACATGGTGCAAACCACAGCTCGGCAAGGGGAGGCGGCTGGCAGAGCTGCCTTGGGAGCTCACTCACGTGCAGCATCTCCCAGCGAGACCAGAACGTGCCCTGCGCCTGTAGGGACAAGTGGCACGTGGAGACGTCCCCGCTCCTGGAATATATCCCGAGGAGGCAGCAGGAGCAGCCAGGTCTGATGCATAATTTTCAGAGCTGAAGTCCCTGGCCTTGAAAATTTTGGGGAGGGAAGACTGAGGACAAGAGGAAGGAAGGAGAGGGAGGCAATTTTAATGATCTCTTCGAAATTATACCGACTGCTTAATTTTCAGCTTTCACAAAAGAAATATGGAAGCTGCAAGCGGGAGCGGTGAGGGAGCGACAGAGCAGCTACAATCAAACACCGGCTGCGGAGCTCTGCGGTGCGCTGAAATATTTGTGAAGAAAATGTCCTTCTCCATTATTAATGGGTCTAATTATTTATTTACACAAAACTGCGAACAGCTGCTCACGAAATGCGTCAAACCTTGTCATTCAAAACGCTAATGGGCGATGGAGAGACAACCAAGGAGGAGCACTGCTGCAGACCTTGGGCAGGGAGGCGGCTTGTTCAACAGGCAGAGAGCGGCTGCTTCATTCCTGGAGGAGCGGCTCCGTGTCCCAGCTTGGGAAGCAGAGCTTTGCTCCTGACAGTAGCATTTGTGGAATTGTATTAAAGAAAGATTTGCTTCTCAAGAACATCAGAGTTGAGCTTCAAATGATGCACTGATAATTATGCGCTCCTTGTCGGTGGGTTTTTTTGTCTCCTTTTCCTTGCACTGCACCTTTACAACTCCAGTACCCGCTTATAGGAATGCTGAAAATGGCTGAAAATGGGTAGTGGCATTCAAATGTCTTCCCTCAAAGAAAATAAATACCTTGAAGACACCAATCACAATTCAAATCCATGGCATAGAGTACAAACCTCTTGGGACAGGGCCACTTTATCTCCTGCCCTTATACTCCACCCTATGATATTTTTTTAGCATACTCCCTCCCAGCAAAAAGCTCTTATTTTCTGTTGGAAACCCAGAAACAGAAAAAGGTTTTGTTGTTTCATCAGAACTGTTCTTTGTTTCGGGTTTTGCTTTTGGCAGCAGACCGTCCCTGCCCGGCAAGGCTCGGCACAGAGGCACTGCCGACCCCGGCCAGCCTCGGGCACCCCAACGGCTGTTGGCTTCCCACCGGCTGCCATCACACCCATACCACCACGTGTCCTTCCCAAGCACAAGAAGGCTGAGTGAAAATCAAGACGGTAACTCTTCTCTGTCCCCAAGGGCCTGCCTGTATCAGGGAAGTTTGCACTGACCAAGGGACCCTCTAATAGCAGAGGTTGTGCAAGTGAAGTTTGTTCTCGAGACAGCTCTCATGTCTAATAACCAACCATAGGATCCCTGTAGCGATGCTACAAGCGTTGCCTTGGCTGGCAAGGAGAGGGGAATTCCCTCTGCCATGCTAAAAAGCCTTCGAATTGGGTAGCGAGGAAGGAGGGAAGGAGAAAAAAAATTAATCAACGGAAGCCAGAAACCTACCAGCGAAGAGCATCCTTCCCGTCAGCATCTCGGCCAGGATGCAGCCGGCCGCCCACATATCGATGGCTTTGGTGTAGTTGTTTGGCGAGAGGAGGAGGCGGGGGGAGCGATACCATTTTGTTACTAAGCCTTCGGAAAGGTAACCCTGAAAAAGCAGAGACAGAGACGTCAGCAATCTTGCAGGAGAGCTCCTCCGCGCCTCCCCGGCCAGCCCTCACTGCCCGCCGTGGCCCCACCATCGGATCCTGCAGAGAAACCTGCCCACCGCGCTTGTGCTGCATCTGTGGCAGGCTGTGGTTGTATATCTTGCAGGAAGCAAAGAGGTGAGACATACGCCACTAGAAACAGAGATGCTTCGGTGCTCCAGGAGGTAAAGCACTTGCTGCTCCCCAAAAACTTATCTGCTGTTTGTCACTGTGGTATTGAAGCGTCTTCTGCAAAGGACAAATGGCTTTAATAGCACAGATCTGCAGAGCACACCTGCAAAAGTTATTTCAGGTCACTATTAGAAGACTTAGATGTATTAGATAAATCCCAATTTGACCATCTGAGATGGTCAAGTCCATTTTGGAAGTTAAGCACATTATTTAAATACTTTGCGGGCTCCCAGCTATAACCCACCGGTGCGTGAAGGAAGCCTTTCCCAGCTCAGTACCCGCAAGCACAGTGCGTGGATTTCCAGGAGTTACCAGTTTGCAATCTTTTCCCGATTCCATCTCTAGTTAAGCATATGTCTGTAGTCCCTCCATAGCTACCTAAACCGCTGGTAACAGCAAGCTACGTGGCGCTGAATTCCCACAGATCCAACTCCCAGCACTGATGCTGAATTTGAATTTTTGAAGGGCAGGAGCTCCCTGGGGAGCCCACGCAAGAGCAGCTGCCCGTGGGTCAGCCCTGGCTGGGCACAAACCCGCGGCGAGCACCGGGGGACACACGAGACCGGAGCAGAGGTGGCAGGGGGAGCACACGGGGCTCCCAAGCGGGCAGCGCCCAGAGGATGCGCTCAGCAGGATCCGGCCTCTCACAGACGCCAGGCGAGTTCGCCCCGCCTGCACCCTCGGGATGCTGCCGCAGTGAACCCCGCTTCGGTTTGGGAACTGCGGACGAGCCCATGCGGAATCTCACAGGGGTGAGACGTGGGATCTTGTCATAAAGAGAAGAACAAGGGGACGGGCAGCAAAACAGATTTATGGAGGACAAATCACTGCCGCCTGGAAGGAAAGTCTCCTGGACCAGCAGATGTCTTAAAGCATCGCCAAGCGGGTAACACAGCCCTGCAAGGGCTTCTAGCCAAGACTCTTGAAAATAAGACACCACGGGATAAGTGGGAAAGCCCTTTCAGGGATTAGCTAGCTGATGAAGAGCTGGAAAACCCTGCCCTTTCTGCGCTGAGCCTGAGTCCTGCCTAATAAATCACCTCCCTCCCTTGCCACCCAGCCGCTGGGGCCCCAGCGTCGCCTCTGGCAGCCGAGCGGTGTGGGGCAGGTCCTCGTCCTCCGTCCTACTTTGCTTACGGTCAGGATGGTCGGCTGGGATGCTTGACCTGGTTTTAAAGGAGAAGCCCTCAGCAGCAGCCCATGGGACAAAGGCCGAGCGCCGTCGTCTCTTTGGAGCACAGCCCTCCCGTTCCTGAACTTACCCAGGAGATTTAACACAAGTGCCAAGCGCTCAGCGGCTCCCGCTGAAATCAGGGGGGTGCGTTCAATCCTGCAAATAACGCTGGCACTGTAATGGACGTCCCAGCGCTCCCGGCTTCGCCCTCCGGCCAAGCTCCGGATGCGTGGGTGCCACGCCGGGGTTGGACATGAACGGTTATTTCATGAGGATAATGTTGGAATATTCATAAGTGGTATTTTCTATATTAAATATAACGCATTAACAGAACGAGGTAGATTGAAACACAGCAGAAAAGACAAAATAAAATGAAATTACAAAGTTGAATTGCTTTTAAATGCCATGAAGCATTTGGAGAGTATCAAAATGCAATGAGTTCACGTAAAAACTCAGTTGAAAACTCCACCCCAACTGATATAGTTTCATAACCTGTTTTCAGTTGCGATATAACTGCGGATGCAGATATGCTATGTAACATCTCCTGGGATGTTACAGGATACATCTCTCAGCCTAAATGCGAGAGAGGTGTGCCGTCACAAACAATATGAGGTTTATAACGTCCCTCCTCCCCCAGTGCAGGTTTTTGTTCCAATTTCCAAACGTGCAAGTCGTCAAGCTTTTAATCATAAAGGGTTTGCTTTTAAAAGAACTTTTCAACTTTGGTCTCCTCAAGAGAAGTTGTAATGGAGACTGATTAGCTGAGAAGTTTCGTTTAATGCTGTTATATTTTTGCTAATGCTTGCTGAATCAGAACTGGCACAAAAGCCCCCAGACATTATCCGATCAGACTGCCGCTTTTCAGCTACTGCAATTATTCCCAACAATGGAGACGTTGGTATTTATTGGAAAAAATCCTAAGAAAATAAACTTTGGGGATAGCGATCCAGGGCAATTCCTGGCTGGAGCAATTTCCTCCCTTTCCCAGCAAAGGAATGCCACTCTCCTTACAGATGTAACACTTGGTTCATACATTTCTCCTCTCTGACAGCAAGATGGATTTGAGTTCTTGGGGGTGTGTGCACCATGCAAAATGTATGAGCAATACACTGCAAATATCTATATGTTACAACAAGCCAAACCTTTTCTTCCCCAGGCACCTCTCATGCATCGGAGAAAATTCCCTGCAAAAGCTCACCAAATATTTTGGACACAACTTCAACCCCTCCCCTGCCGCGGGAGGTTACTGGTGGTAATTAATCAGCAGTGCTTCGCATTGTGCTTCCCTCTTCTGTTACCCATCACCGGGTATTTGACTGTCGTCTCCCTGCTTTCATCTGCTGAATAACCCAGACCATTGGGTCACCCACCACCAAGCCCAGGAAGGACCCGTGGAGAGGAGCGACCTACAGCTTCCCTCCATCCCACCGACTCGTGGACCGTACAGCTGGACCCCCCCTTGCTTCCCACAGCATTCCGCTGCTGGGCTCTGGGTTATCCCTCCTCTTTCTCGGGGGGGAAATACTGGGAAGGGCTGATGGGAGGTTTGAAAATCAAGACTTTTCCGACCTGGCCCAAGCAGCTGGGGGTTCTCCCTGGCTGGGCAGCATGGCACCCCTGTCCTGAGCAGCTTATACAGCCCCAACACTTAGGTCTGCTCTGCCTCCACGGTGGCTAAAAACATCTTTATTTTTACAAAATACATAAGATAAGTTCCTGTCCTACCACCTGGAGGAAGTAACTACAGTCCTGTGGACTATCAAGTCCTACGGAGAAATATCACCACAGCTTTGGGAGCCGGGATCATGCAGTCGCCGGCACAGCCGCAGGATGCTTGGCTAAGGATCCACCTACACCTGGGTTAGGTACAGGCTCAGCTCTTACCCGTGGTGCCAAGACTTACACGAGGGCAGCAGCCGTGCCAGGATGGAGAGCCCCGAGCACTTCCAGCCATCACCTACGCAAGGCATGGGCTTTAGCACGAGAATGTCACCATTTATGTAGCTTCAACCAGACAGAAAGACCAAGAGCAGAAGCATACTAATTAGTTCTAATTAACATGGAACATACATCTTCATGACAATATTCTGTGGATTCACCACAGCCCTTTCTGAACTGAAGAACCACTGGAGTCTCTTTAAAAACCAATATAATGGAGTTAATTTTAAAACAGAAATAGTTTCAAGTCCAAGGCTTGCTCTCAAGCCTGCCCGTGCTATTTTTTTTTTTTTCAGTTTTCAAGTACCGTTTCCCTGCTTCTCCTCTGCTCCTGCGGCATGTCCAGGAACAGCTCAGGCAATCCGTAAAGGTGATGAATTCACTACAGGTAGGATAAGCATCAAGTCGTATCAAACAGCACAGCAAGGAAACTGAAAAGCAAAGAAAAATGAATGCTTTTTCTAATCTTTACACCACACGGATTTCGTGCGCTGCTTGTAACACCAGGAGGAGAATTTCGGGAGGGTGCGGGTGCTGCTGCATCCCGGTGTCACACCGGTCACGGCACGCTGGACCGCCCGCATCCCGAGCGCGCCGAGGGAAGCTGGCACGGCATGGCAGCACGTGGGGAGCACAGCAAGACCAGCCGGTGCTCCGAAACATCCGTCGCCCCAGCCCGGAGCTCCTCCTTGGAGCTCGAGGGACCAAGGGCAGGTCTCCTTGAGGCGGACGCCGAAATTCAGGATCCCACCTACTGCAAACCAAGCAGCCCCTGACGCCACAGCCCAAAGCCTCTCCTGAGCGTATTTCACACCAAGATCGATCTTTCTGCACCCAAAAAGCCACAGAGGTGCAGACCAGGTGCCCGTGAACTGGAACTCCAGCAGGATCCAGACACAGCCCGCGTACCCGCACCTCCATCCCCAGCCACGAACGGG